TCCCCCCCCCCCCCTCTCTCCCGTCTCTTGTCTATACCCATCCTTGACGTTCCTGCTAGGAGAGATATAGATATACGTTGGGGTTCGGGTTCCTCTTACCTAACTGAAAAGCCAAAACCCATCATCTGCTAGTTTCTAAGAGGAAATGTTACTCTATGGGAATAAGCATATGCATATAAAAGGATCCTCAGAATGGCCCTTTGATTTGGAAGAGATTTAAGTAGTAGTAGTAGTAGTAGTTGAAGGAGAGTGTTCGTGCATAACTGCTCGGGCTTTTAATATTCCGGGGAGAGTAGTAGGCGGTGATGAGGACGATGCAGAGGGGTGGCCCACAGCATGGGGCCTGTTTGGTCTCTCACATAATTTCATTGCTCTGAGGACATAATTGTCATCGTGTAGCTCAAACGGAGTGCTGCAAAACCATTTATGAGCAGAATGTATCAATCACTCAAAATCACACACTTACAGATGGATGATGTTTCAGCTAGCTCTCTTTTCTTTACCTGTTGAAATCAAAGTGCACCAATTGCATATCTTCTGATATTTCCACTTCAACCATTGCATTGGGGCGAGTCTGGAGTTTCCAAAAAGCAAAGAAAATCATGGGTGTGTTCTGAGTCAATTAGAACAATATGAATGGTTTTAAAGCCACAATGTGAGTGATCCGTTGAGCTCGTGATCTAATTCGGTATACATACAAGAAGAAATTATAAAACAATTTTACCTGAACCAATATGAAGGGTAAAACCACGCCACCAGTTGGAGTATTCCCAGAGCTGTATAACTGTTCATTGCGTTTCATGAGGTTCTGAAGCCCTGCATACTTTTAGATGGGAGCTACAAGTTAGTCCTCAAGTATTAAAAGAAGACAGATCGATGATATTCCATAAATGTTCCATGCATTAAGAAAAGGGGAATTTCAACCTGTTCCTCCAGTTCTTCTAAATAGGAAGCTTTTTTCTGAATCCTGTTTCTCAACCCTAGCCGCTCCTTCTGTAATTATTTAAATGAATTGCATCATTGAGGATGATTTTTTTTGTATATAAATATCAAATAAATGCATAATGAATGAGACAGAGGGTTTGATGGGAGAAAGGTGAAGTGGCGTATAGTGAAAATAAAAAAGCAAACCTTTAGCTCTTCAATATTGTTTATGCTTGTCTGTGGCAGACCCCTCCACTGTATTTCTTTTTTATCTTTCGAAATAATATCCATTGCCATAAGAACATTTAAAGCATCATACACACGGCGTCTAATATTCTTCTCATCATAATGTTGCTATCAAAGTCAAATTACTGCTGTCAATATTCATTATCAAAACATAGAAGAAACTGAGANGAGGGTTTGATGGGAGAAAGGTGAAGTGGCGTATAGTGAAAATAAAAAAGCAAACCTTTAGCTCTTCAATATTGTTTATGCTTGTCTGTGGCAGACCCCTCCACTGTATTTCTTTTTTATCTTTCGAAATAATATCCATTGCCATAAGAACATTTAAAGCATCATACACACGGCGTCTAATATTCTTCTCATCATAATGTTGCTATCAAAGTCAAATTACTGCTGTCAATATTCATTATCAAAACATAGAAGAAACTGAGAGTTATACCACCTCACTCAAAACAAAACTCTTGTTTCGAGGGTTTGATGGTTCCAAGAACAACAGTTCTTGATCAACGGTACTTTTTCAAGTAAATTCCGACAAAATAAAACACAAACAGATTACATACAATGGATTCAGTTTAACCGACAAATTAACTTACAAAATGCATGTATGATTAGTGATTTATAGTAAGTGCACCTTACTGAAATTAAAAAATTATACCTTAGTAAAGGCTCTATTTTTGGGAGGTAGTAGAAAATACAATCAAGGTAGAAACTACCAAACCTGATCTGGAGTTGAAATGCCATGGTTAGGATCAGCAAATTCAGCTACAAGTTCATCAGCAACCTGAATAGATTAGAAAATACCCTTTAATTAAATCTTTGACTCTGTATGAAGGAAAATTTGTCTAAAGATACCATGCTTTTGGACAAGCCAGAGGGCAGTGCCATCAAGAGATGACAATTTGAAGTACTTTCCTTTTTTACACAAGAACCATACAATACAACAACGACAAACCCAATGTAATCCAACCAGTAGAGTCTGGGAAGGGCAGGATGTACGGATTGTACACAGATCTTAACTCTACCCGTGAAGGGTGAAGAGGTTGTTTCCAATAGATCCTCAGCCAAAAAGATAATAAAAGAATAAAACCGAAGTAAGCTGACAAGAATATCAGGAAGCAACATAACGAGATACACTGCAAGTGAAGCATCACAATTAGATTACAAAAGGGTAATAGTCTACAAACAAGATGGAAGGGCTAGCCCCCACCCACCCCTCCCCCCCTCCACCCCTCCAACAAATCTGATATCTCAAGGCTTCAAATGCCCATCATCATGTTGAAAATCTATT